GCAGAATACTGAGTCGTCACTCAAAATCATAGTTAATATTTGTGGGGGATTTTGGTTTGTTTGGTTTTGGTTTTGGTTTAGAACCACACTCAGGGCTTACTCCTGGCTCTGCACTCAGGGATAACTTCAGGGGGGTTGAAGATACCATAGGGGTGCTGAGGATCAAAGCAGGGTCAACCATGTATAAGGCAAGCACCCTACCCACTGTACTACCACTCTGGTCCCCAAAGAGATCCACTGACATGAAGAAGAAGTTCATAGACGATCTCAGTCTTTTAAGAGACTTAGTGGTGGGGCATATGCTTTGTGTGAAGTTTTAGGTTTGATTCCAAGCATAACAAATAAATGACTACATAAAAAAATTATACAACACAAAACTAGTTTTAAAAGTATGTCACTAAGTATTATAAGATGGGATCTATATTACAGAACAATGGTTCTTAAAATGTTGTCCCTGGGAAAGGAATGTCAGTATCACTTAGAAAAACGCAAACAAATGACCCTACCCCACATCTGCTCAATCAAACTGCTGCTGTGAATTTAGCAACCTGGTTTAATAAGCTGTCCAGGTGAATCTAATGCTCTAATGAGCACTTTGATGATGAAAAAATGAGGAGGCGCTGTATATATTTATGACATGTGTGAGAGCACTGTTTCCTGAAGTAGGAGAGACAGTATAGGGGTTAAAGCACTTCCTTTGCACATGGTCAGCTCTGTTTAATTCCTGACATGGCTTATAATCCCCTGAGCACAGAGGCAGGAGTAAGCCCTGAGCACTGCTCTACGGCACAAAGAAAGGAAAAGCAAACAAGTAAACACAGAGTGCTGCTTGCCAGTTGTTATTCAACACAGGCCAATGCCAGGGGGTTAGTTTCAGTGTCCCACAGTAGAAAACCCAGCCCAAGGGTTTTAGATAATAAGTGAATTTATTCCCTCACATTAACTGGGAAAGGGCACGTTCTAGGTTGGACATCAAGTCTTCATGCTCACAACTTGTAACTTGTTTTTTGTGTGTATGTTCAGTTGCAGTTGGTTTTCTGGGGTTCCACAAAATACTCAGGTAAACCACAGCCAGAGGCAGAAGGAACCATTTTGTCTGGCGTCTTCTTCAAAACCAGGAAATCATTCCTAAGAACAGTAGGCTCCATTTCTCAATGGTGCTTGCGGGTCACCTGCTCAACCCTCCTCTAATGACTGATCAAAGGAATAGGAGACCGCAACTGGCTTAGATTGATCAGGATTCACCTCTATCTAGAAAGAAATAGAGACGCCTTCCCTAAAGAACAGGCTTCATCAAAATTAAGGATCTGCTAATAAGGGAAAAAACGGGGGAAACAGCTCTAGCAAAAGCGTCAAACTCTCTGCCACACTGATTCGAGCCTAATAATTGCCTCTGTGGTAGAGAACACCCATTTGTGCTTAGGGGGGCCTATCCTTGCCTGGGGATAATGCAGTGCTGGGATGGGACAGGGGCTCTTGGAGTCACTTCCCCAGTCCTGTTTTGCGGGAGGGGGTGGGAGCAGGAGTAGAGCTTCGAACTGAAGCTCAGAAAGCCTACGGGGGGGGGGGGGGCACTCATGATTCTCTGACAACCAATCGTTCAATGTGAGGTCCTTAGGATAGGATGCTGTTCAGGGTCTGTGAAACTGGGGTTATGTGGTCCACCCCAGGGCTGTTCAGGAGACCATGTGGTTCTGGGAATCAAGACTGGATAGAATCACTGTACCACCCCGGGCCTCCCTAATAAGTGTTTTCTAAAAAGAGTACTTCAAAATGAAACTTTCTTGAGTCTCTTGTTAGGCATGATAGAAAATGGATCATGCACATTGTGCGTATGTTTTCTTTCTTCAGAGCTCCTTACTTTGGAACAATGTCCGAGTCTTCAAAGGAAGACGTTACAGGGGTTAAATTACTTGCCTTGTACATGGTTTATGAGGGCTTAATCCTTGGCATGGCATATGATCTCTGAGCACCACCAGGAGTGATCCGTGTACACAGAGCCATGGATAAGACCTGAGTATCACTAGATGCCACCCCCCTAAAAAAATTAACAAGGAAAAAAAAATCCAACTAACTGTACTGCTGCCAGGAAAGAGAGGAACACAAAAGAATACACTGACAATTCAATTTCTATGAAGATCAGAAAGAGGCAAAATGAATCTGGAACAATAAAAGTATGAATACAGTTACCCACACTGGAAAAGAAAAACTTTTTAAACAGGTCACTTTAAGAAAAAAAATTATTGAATCACCATGAGATAGTTACAAGCTCTTTCATGTTTGAGTTACAATCACACAATGAAAAAACACCCATCCCTCCACCAGTGCACATTCCCCACCACCAATATCCCCAGTATACCCCTCGTTTCCCACCCTCCCCCTGCCTCCATGGCAGAAAATATTCCCCATACTCTCTCTCTACTTGGGGGCATTACGGTTTGCAAGACAGATGCTGAGAAGTTATCATGTTCGGTCCTTTACCGACTTTCTGCACACATCTCCCATCCCAACCAGTTCCTTAAGTCATCATTTTCTTAGTGATTGCTTCTCTATTCCATCTGCTTTCTACCCTTTGCTCGTGAGGCAGGCTTCAGCTATGGAGCAGTCTTCCTGTCCCGTGCATCTACTATCCTTAGGTGTTAGCCTCATATGATGTTGTTTTATACTCCACAAATGAGCGCAGTCCTTCTATATCTGTCCCTCTCTTTCTGACTCATTTCACTTAGCATGATACAGCACCTATTAAACGAGACTCTGGGTCATCAGAGGATGGGGTGAAATAGCACAAAATTGTAATAAAGTGAATATATTACCAAGAATGTGCTATCCAACAAGATTATCAGCCAGATTAAAAGGAACAATACTGAGCTTCTGGGGAAGCTGGGAACATTGGTCAAGGGAAGTCATCACTGGTGGTGGTATGGGTGCTACAATATTGTATGTCTACATTCATCTATGAATAACTTTATAAATCACAGCTCTACTAAAAAAGTGTGGAAAGAAAAAAGTAAAGGAACACTCCCAGTCTAATTGCTCAGCATCTTCCAAGGGGTCTAATTACAAAGACTTACCTCCTCCAGTGCAAGCCATAACAATAAAAAACCATGTGGAAAAACATTTAGAATCCCACCAGGTTCAATGAGCAAACACGATATTACTGAAAACATTAAAAACACCAGTAGATCCTCAGACAATGTCTGCATGGCATAATGAGGACATTCAATATTTTAAAGTAACATTAGCAATGATAGCAAAGTACAAAAAAGTATGAGACAAAGTGAAAAAAATACTACAATCAAAAATGACTGAAATGAAGACATAGTATGTGATATAAAATGTCAATAGAAGCTCTAAATAGCAAAATTACAGAAGCTTAGAATAAAATTAAGGAACTCCAAGATGAGAAGGAAGAAACTGCTTGGAAACAAAAGAAGGTAGAAAATAATTTGAAAAGAAATAAACAACATACCAGATAACTACGGCTGAGTTCAAGAGAAAAAAAAATAAGAATTATCAGAGTCCCTAAGGTAAATTTGATGAAGAGATAATAAAGAAATCATTGATAAGAAATTCCCAGAGATGAGAACAGGCACTGAGATTAAAGAGGTTAGAAGCGTCCCAGCGATAGAAGACTCAAGTAGGAAATCTTCAAGACGCTTTGAATCAAGATGACAAAATAAAAATTAGAAAGACCATAAAAGGAACTTACGTACAAAGAAAATTCCATAAGATATACAATAGCTCTATCAAACAAAACTCTGCAAGTTAGAAGAGTAAGGAAGGATTTGATACAAAAGCTTAAAGAAAGGAACACTTCACAAGAACACTCTGTGCAGCTACGTTGTCGTTTAGATTTGAATGAAAAATATGGAGCTTCATGGACAGGCAACAGCTCAGTGAATTCATAGCCCTGAAAACAGATTTGTAAGAAATGTCAAAAAGCTTTTCCAAGGACAGGACAAACTTCCCAGCACGTGGTATTGAGTATAACACTAATTGTGCATATGCTCGCCCTCTGCTATATTAAGAAAGGTGTGTTGGTTCTTGGGCCACACCCAAGGGTTCTCAGGGCTTACTCCTAGCTCTGCACTCAGGGATCACTCCTGGTAAATTCAGGGAACCATATGAGATTCTGAGGATCAAACCTAGGTTGACCATGCTCAAGCAACTGCTCTTTTCACTGTACTATTGCTCTGGCCCACAAATTGATTTTTATTGATAAATTTCTGATAATTCCATTTGCCATTCATTACTTTAAGTTTTGTTGGAGTAAGTAATTTGAAATAAATTGATTATATGCCTGCCAAGGAGACAAGCTGGGGAGAGGAGACTTGGGGACATTGGTGGAAGGAGGTGGGCACTGACGTGGGACTGGTTTTGGAATTTAGTGTGCCTGAAACAGTTTAAATATGAATAACTTTGTAAATCACAATCTTAATAAAAATTCTAAAAAGGAAAATTTTTCATTCTGATGGCTTCATTCCTTTTTTACTTTCTCTCCACTGTAGAATTCATATTTCAATTGATTTTGAAATCAGTCTAACAATATTCATAGCTGCAAGTCTCCATCCTTATTATTTCTTGTTTCTCTTCTGAAATGACCTTTCAAACATAGGTAATAACTTTTATTTTATATTTCTTTATTTTGCTTTTTGGGTCACACCCAGGAGTGCACAGAAGTTACTCCTGGCTCTGCACTCAGGAATTGCCCCTGGCAGTGGTCAGGGGACCATATGGGATGCTGGGAGTCGAACCCGTCAGCTGTGTGCAAGGCAAACGCCCTACCCACTGTGTTATTGCTTCAACGACAGTAATATATTTTTTTAAATTAAGGTATTTAGAAATAAAGAAGACAAAAAATTAGCAAAATTATTTATTGGCAAGATATTCATAATTAACTTGCTTTAAACTTGTCTAAATTCTTAGAAAGTAATCTCATATTTTATTAACTACTGAAGAGTTCTCTAGATTTTATTGAGTCAAAGAAGGCATCAACATACATTTTCTGCAATCACTTCCTGTCCATTCGAGAGCACAAGTACAGCTTCCATTCGCAGGATTGCAAATCCCATCATTTATGCAGTTACATTTGAGATCACAATTTGGGCCATACCTTGTTTGGGGACACCCTGCATTAAAATATTTTAAAAATCAAAGTAAATTTTCATATGACCAAATGCTTTTCTTTATGATAAATAGAATAATCATGTTATCATTTAGAAAGCAAACAAAAACGTCCAAAGAGTTTTAATTATAATTAGCATGTTTCTACTACTTCTGTAAGTACAGGTTTATAATGTATTCTTATTTTAATTCCCTGATCAACTGTTGAGTTATAACCATACCTAATTATTTGGGCACTTGGAGAGGCCTTACTGAACAGATAAAGAACAAATCTCAAATTATTAATGCTAGCTTTTTGTATATTTAGTCTAGTAATTGATAAATAAGACAGAATAACAATTTGTTATTTAATGCTTTTATTTTGAAATATGAAAAATACTTCAATGGTCAGTGAGGGTTAAACAAACAAACATGTACTGACAAGAGGAATTAAGATATTAGAAAGACAGATTTACCAGCAATAAGGAAAATTGAGATTCTCTTTCATTGACACGGGGGAATAATTCAATGATGGAAAAAGTCACGAAAGCAAGCACTTAAGATCCTCTATGTGAGATTTTTCACTGTGCATATTAAGTGGGTTTCTCTACTAAAGATACAGGCCCACATTGTTAGGTAATATGACTTATTCGGGAACACTCCAAATCCATATTTTACATGAAATCATCCAATCTTTAAAAGTTGGCAACCAATTAAAATTGCTTTACAGGGCTGCAGAGGCCAGCATTATGGCAGCCAATTCAAACACATTTGTGGCTAGATTTGGCCAAGTTCCTGCCATTTATACCCTCCATTTCATATATTTTTACATAATGATTTTCCACATAAATTATCTCATTGAATACTCACAAATACTTTGTGATGTGGGTAACAGTATTCTTAATTTTCACTTGAGAAAACTGAAACTCATAGCCTTAAATCTTACTTGGACTTAAGTGGTAAGTAAAGTAAAGATAAGAACCAAGATTCAAATCAAGAACTTTTGACACTTCATCAAGCATAATTTCTATTTCAGCCAGCAAAAGAGACATTTAGGAGCTGCTTTTTAAAACATATCTCAAGGTATTTATTTAACACCAAACCATGCATATACTGGAATCGAATCCTACTTTCTTTCTTGCTATTATATGATTGAATAGGTGTAGTTTAGTACTAAATGAAAGGAAGATTTTGATTTTATTTAAATAACAGTTATAGTTATATATTTAATGGTTAACCATCATCACTTGCATGATTAGCTACTTTATTAACTTTCAATTAATTTTTGGTCTTTTTCTTTCAACACCCACTGTCCAGAATCAACAATGCTAAGTTCTATTTTATTAAAAGATGCTATTCTGCTTTCCTTTAATTTTCAACAAAAACCTCTACACAGCCAGGAAGACCATTATTTTGCCAGCCCCAACAAAAAGATGCCTTAATCAAACCGGTGAATTCTCAAAACACAGAACTCTAAGACATAGGAATAAACAATGATTGGAACCAGGGATGCAGTTTAGCAGTTAGAGTACTTACTTGCTTTGGGTGTATGAAACCCTAGGTTCAGTCCCCAGAAATGCAAGAAACATAATCACAAAAGTGAAGACAACTCAGAAACGTTTTTTAAATGGTGTCACTTTTAGAATACTATTTACCAGACTTAAGTAAGTAACTATTAATTTTTGTAAAGCGGGTAGGGCGTTTGCCTTGCACGCAGCCAACATGGCCGACCCGAGTTCGATTCCTCCGCCCCTCTCGGAGAGCCCGGCAAGCTACCAAGAGTATTCGATATGCCAGACAGAGTAACAACAAAGTCTCCAATGGAGACGCTACTGGGCCCGCTCGAGCAAATCAATGATCAACGGGAGGGCCTTTACTTACTTTACTTTAATATAAAAACAAAAATATAAAACAGGATATAAAGGCATTACGATTAAAAAGAAAAATACTTAATCCTGTTCTCACTCTCAAACTTTATTATCACCAAATTTTTTTAACCATAAACATTAGTTATTTCGGACTTACTCTAATCACTGAATTTAAAATTTGAGTGTACTTTGGATTCTACCACTCTCTCTCCCTCCCCCAACTCTCCCCCCCCCTTCTCCCCACCATCCCGTCCATCTCTCTTTGTTTTTTATTTATTTATTTATTTATTTATTTTTTATTAGTGAAACACCACGAGCTACAGTTATAGACTTACAAATTTTTGTGCTTGGGTTTCAGTTATACAATGATCATGTACCCATCCCTCCAGCAGTGACCATCCTCCACCACCACGGGTCCCAGCATCCCTCCCACCCCTCCCCCCGTCCCCCCACCCCACCCGGCCTCTGTGGCAGGGCATTTCCTTTTGTTCTCTCTCTCTCTCTCTCTCTCTCTCTCTCTCTCTCTCTCTCTCTCTCTCTCTCTCTCTCTCTCTCCTTCTGGGTTCTGTGGTTTGCAAGAGAGGCATTGTAATACTACTTATTACATCAACAATTTTTCCCATATATCTTTCCTGTCATTTCAGAACCTCTATGATGCAAATGTTGTTCCTAGTATTGCTGTTCTATAAATTCCTTATGTTTTTCCTAGTTCTTCTTTCTTATCTTCCTTTTGAATGGTTTCAACAAGTTTGTCCTCACGGCACTGATTTAATTTTCAGCTTCTTTCATTCTGCTGCTAGACCTGCTGTGTATTTTTTAGTTCAGCTACTATACCTTTTTAATCATTAATTTCTGCCTGAAGTATTTTTTATAATTTATTATATTTTATTGCTACTCTTCCACTGATTTCTTCATTTAATTTAACATTGATATATTGTTGTTTTGATGTTTTCTTTGAGAAGTTGAAAAATTCTGGTGTATTTCAAAATCTTCTACATCTTTTGTTCCTATCCATTCATGTGATTGACTTCTTCCATTTTCATGCCTGGTACTTTATGAGAGTCACAATCTGAGTACAAGCTAATCTAAACAATTAGAAGTCGATGCTTACAGAATTGTTTCAGTGCCAGTTACCCTGAGACTGTGCAGCCTGGAAGGGGCTGGAGATTTGGGCTCCTAAGTTCCCTGTAGCAGCTACAATATTGACGTCTAATAGGATCAGGCTCTGACTGAAGATTTACAGCTTCTAATGTTTGCAAACAGCTCTGAAGTCAATATCTGGCTGCCTCAGCAACATCTGGGAATTGTAGTTGGGTGTACCCCAAAACAACTGTTCTTTGTAACTATTGGGGTACCATTTTGGCTGGGCTCCAATTGTTGAATCAATTGCGGAAACAGCAGTCTGTGCTGTGATATTTCACTCTTTTGGGTAGGCTTGTGGCACTGAGTTTGAGTAAGCTTCTGAAACATGAGGCAATTTATATGTGTCCCAGATAACTGAGAATGCAGTCACTATTACACTGCAATAGGTCTGTGCTGAGTCTGGAGAGGTCTGTGGGCTACCTGGTATACTAAATGTCTTGTAGTCAGGGTTATCTTTCGGCTAGTTGCATACCTAATGATGGTGATCAAGAAATTTGGGGGTGTGAGTGTTCAGCGATAACTCTGCCCAATTAACTTACTCATGAGGGGTAGGCTTCAAATTACAAATACCTCAGGTTATCTGAGAACCAATACTAAGAAAGCGTGGGTGACAGTTGGGGGGTTGTTTATTCTGAGTTAGCAGTTCTCTGCGTGGCCGGTTTTTACACAGGTCTGTGTGCGGATGGGTAACCAAAGTGGTGACCTGGTGTTAATGAACAGCTGAAGCCTCCATCATCACAGTTTCTGTGAGTGTCTGTGCCACGTGGGGGAAGCTCGGGCTCTTGGTCAACTGGCTAATACTTTGGAAGGTACAGAGAGCGTCTAGCAGCAGAGTGATAAGCAGGGTGGAGTCTATTGGTTTGGCTAACCAAGTACTAGCTGTAAACTTTCTGCTATTGTCCTGGGGTGGGTGGGGTTTAGCTCAACCAAGGTGGCCCCTAGCCAGACCACCACCATCTACAGAGACAATGACAGGGATTGACTGTAATCCAAGTTTTCTTTCTCAGGCACGTCTTCCCAGTTTAGAGGATGTTTAAACAGAGGGAACTATGCCGGAATTCTTAGTCTGAGTGCCACCCACCCTGTTTTCTAGTGTAGTGGAACTTTGCGGGTCAAATCTATCCCTAGGTTTTTGGTATCCAAGCAGGGCCACCATTCTCAGTGCTCTTTCAGAACTATTTTTTTTTAACTACTTCTGACAGTTGTAGGAATTCTAACTAGTAGAATTCCTCTACTGGCTGAATTCAGCAATATTTTCTACTTGAATGCAGGTGAGACTCTATTTAATTCAGCTTTTGTGCAGAATTTTTGTCTTAATATCGGGTGAATGCTAGGTGAATTTCCATTAATTAACCATCTTGGTCTCACCCTCTTTTTTTCCCCTTCTGTTATTGCTTCCCCCGGATTTGAGTTAATTTTACTCTAATAGTTTTTTTTTCTCTTGAGAATTTCTGTTTAACTCATAGATTATTTAGATGTATGTTTTTAAGTATTTGGAGACTCTCTTGCTGCCTTTCTTCAATAGATTTCTATTTGATACAAATATAAGAACAAACTATATGGGATTTTTAACTTTTTAAAGTTTCTTAAGGTTTGTTTTATCGCCTAGGATCATATAATTTAGAATATGTTCCATGGGCACATGACTATATATTCTGCTGTTACATAAGTGTGACTATATATTCTTCCCTAAGGCCAGAGTGTTCTATAAGGGTTTACTAGATTCTGTGTTTGAGCTTTCCTGTAACTGTGTTTACTGTGTTTATAAAGAAGAGCAATAGAAAATTGAACATCTAGCTTTTCTATAAGTCATAGGATAATTAATATAGTCTTGTATAATATCTTTCAACCTCCAGGACCAGCCACCACCATGCTGAGACCACTCTCTGCACACATGAAGGTAATGGCAGAGGGACAAAGCCGAGATCTCCGGGGCCGAGATCTCCAAGCCTACTCAGATTGGGGCCGAGCATCCTCCACCCGGATCCTCCAAATTCCAGTAGGCAGGGGTCACACCCACCAACTGGCCCCCTGGCGCCGTGTAATCCCATCAGCGGCCAAGACTCGGAGACTATAAAAACCAGCTCCCAGAACCGTTTGGTCGCATTTGCGGCCGCGCGACATCTTATTATGACACCTTATTATCTCATTCCTACTTTGGACAAACTGGCAGGCTACCGAATGTAGCCTGCCCACACGGCAGAGTCTGGCAAACTCCCTGTGGCGTACCCAATATGCCAAATACCAGTAACAATGATGGGTCTCATTCTCCTAAAGAGTCTTGAATATAATCTCAGGGCTAGGATGAAGGAGACGTTACTTGGGCCTGTTCGAGGCTATCGACGAATAACAGGATGATTTGTGATTTGTATAATATAGGTCATCTTCTTTAGAGATACATGTACTATTAAATAATCCAGTGGATTTTCTTAGTATCTATTTGCTAACCACTATGGTGATTGAAATGAAATTTCTTCACATTTTTTCTGATTATCCTTCACCACTTGGTCTTAGTTGCCTAGATTTTCATTCTTAAATTCTTAATCATAAAATTGTAAATTGTGGTATTCAATATTGATCACTTGATCACTTGACATCCCGTTATTCATCAATTTGCTCAAGTGGGCTCCAGTAACGTCTCCATTTGTCCCTGTTGCATGCTAGTGTAGCCCACTGGCGTCTGCTCCCTTCAGGAACACGAAGAGCCTCAAAACAATCCTCCAGGTCTTGACAAAGAAGTCTGACCATCTCGTAGGTGGGTGGCCATGTGATCTTTTGATGTCCCATGGAATCCAGTCAATAACTGCTCTAGTCCAGTGGTCGTCTCCAAATCCCATTATGTGTCCAGCCCATCTGATTTTCAATGCCTTGGCAAATGAGACAGTATCCCTGATTCTTGATTGTCGATGGAGGTCGGAACACCTGATTCCTTCTTTCACTTATGTGAAGCATGATACTCCATGCATAGCTCTTTCGATTCCTCTTTGGGAGACCCGATTAGCATTCTCATCCTGTTTTCATAGGGCCCAGGTCTCTGAGGTGTATGTTAGTACAGAAAGAATCATGGAGTCAAAGATATGTGCCCAAAGCCGGAGGTTCTTCATCCTTAGCTATCTCTTCGATACTCTTGAAGGCGTTCAAAGCCACTCTCTTCCTCCTGCACAACTCAGGTGCCAGGTTGTTCGTCATGTTGACTTCTCGACCTAGGTGCACATAACTGTTGCATTTGGAGATGTTCATTCCGTTGAGAACAAATGGAACGTCAGGAACAAGTTCGTTTCTCATAAACATTGTCTTCATGAGATTCAGCTGCAGTCCGACATTTCGACACTCACGTTCAAAGTCGGCCAGCATTTATGCCGCGTGGCTAATGTTTGGTGTTATTACAACTATGTCATCAGCAAAGCAGAGGTGGTGTAGGTGCTGACCATCTATCTGCACTCCCATTCCTTCCCATTTCAGTAGTTATTTAACATTCACGGTCCTCCCATTGTTCATCGATTTGCTCGAGCGGGCCCAGTAACGTCTCCATCATGAGACTTGTTGTTACTGTGTTTGGCATATCGAATACGTCACGGGTAGCTTGCCAGGCTCTGCCTATTTAACATTATGCTCTAAAAATACTTATTAAGTTGTCATGTTTAAGCAATATAACTTAACACAGTTATGTCTCTGCCATCACAAACCTTTAATGATGAAATTTAGTACTACATTTAGACCTTCTGTTCCTTTCCAATTTATACTTGTTATGATAAAACCTCAAAAGGGTTATAATTTATAATATTCTATATTTGTCTGCTATTATGTTATCATAATCTCCACATTTGTTTTAAACTTATTTCTAATTTAATAGGCTCAGAGATGTCGGTCTGTGATAGACTGGCTTCCAGGCATGAGGTTGTAAGTTTAATTTCCAATACTTCCCCTATATTGTCAAGTATTATCTCAGTGGCACTGTCCTGGATATTTCCTTTGCCACAACAAATGTTTGATATCTGGCATATAGAAACCCACTGGTTAAAGCACCACAATCAGGCATGTGAGCCTGGACCATCAAAATAACTAGAACAATAGGAAAGGAAGGAGAGAAATAAAATAGATTTAATGATCAATAGCCTTTTTATCAGAGCATTTCCATTCATTATGTGGCTGTTCAAATTTATCTTCTAGTAGCATCTTGAAAATTATGAATACTATTGTCTCATTTTTAAAAATTGAGAAAATATTGATTTACAAAATGTTATATTTCAGGTATACGATGTTATACTTCAAGACCTATTAACTATCAAATTAATCAACAAATTAATTTTTCTTTGTTTTTGTTTTAAATTTTTGTTAGACCTCCACTAGGTTCTGTCCTTTATAGTTCTTCAGGAATTCTTATTTAAATGTTACTATGTCCACATTTAAGAAGAAAGTGTTATAAAAGATCATTATGTAATTGTAGGTACAGACGTCAAGTTTGCATTCATACTTAGCTCTTGGATGGGCAAAGTGACCTGGTGGTCATTGTTACCTTGCTGACACCTGGTTTCTACTTGGCCATATGGACACTGGCACTCTCCAGTGGCCGGGTCACACTGTCCTGAGCCACAGAAACACATCAGAGTACAATTCTGCTCATAGTAACCTTCAGGACAGGCTGCAGGAAGAAGCGAAGCAAAACAAAATAAAACCAAATATTAATGCAATCTTAGTTGATGCCAGGAATTTACAACCAAGTATAAAACACTTTCATTACATTATAAAATAACTTAAAATTAGCTTGGTTTATTAATAGTTGTATGAGGAAGTGCCTGTGTGTGTGAAAACCTTGAGTATTCTTTCTCTAAGTCATTCTTGGATTTCAGTTTACACTTCTATGTGTCAATCTATTATGTTTACATCTCCAAATATTTGTGCATACTTTATTCTCTTATGTATAATTTATATAGTTAGTTAGTAAGAAAGAAAATAGTGAGATAATATTGAATGATTTTATCATTTACAGTAAATTTATTTAATCATGTCAAAGATTGGGACCAGAGAGACAGTACAATGGATTAGCCATTTTTCTTGCATGTCATCAAACCGGGTCCAATTCCCAGCACCACTTAGGGTTCACCTGAGCACCACCTAGAGCAATTCCTGAGCACAGAGCTAGGCATAAATCCTGAGCATCAGTCTGTGCCAAATCAAAACAAATAAAGTCAATGCTAATTTATTAACTAACCCACATTTATTCATTTCTTTGCTTAATTTTCACGGAATTCCCATTCTGAAAATTCACTGAACTTAGTAAAAAACATAAAACAAACAAAGACAAATAAGTATCTGAAAATCAAGTGCAATAAAATTACAATAACAGTATTGATGAATACTCTAATTCTTAGAATTTGTAAAAGCAAGATTGTAAAATTGGCTCTGATCTACCTAACCAAAACAAAACAAAAAAAGTGCTCAGGTACAAGATCAAGGATTTCTGATGCAAAATACTCCCAATGTTCAAGGAAACCATAGCTTTGGAAGATGCTTGGTCCTGAGAAAATTATAAATCTTCTCCTGATTCTCTTATGTACAATTTATTTAATCCATTATTAACAAAAAAGAAAATCCTGAGATAATTTTCATTGATTATTATCTCATGAATATTATCTCACAAATACAAAGGAACCAATGAGATTAGTATGGCTGGCTTTAACTCAAAGATAACATGGCTATCTTGAAGCTACAGAAGTAGTACCTAGTAGGCTTAAATATCCCTCTACCTGCAGCCAGGGGTTGGTCTCATGAATCTTTTATTCTTAGTGCAGCCGGGTGGTGGGGCAAAACAATTAAGCACCCAAAATTACTCTCATACAGTGAAGACTTAGCAACTACCTACCTTAGCAAGAGATATATTTTGAGTATTTGTTTAACATATAATCACTTAGCATTCTATCTAGTCACAAACTTCATTATCATTCTTCCAAATAAAATGATCGCAAGTTCACAGTCACTGTATAAGATGGTACTTTTACTATTTGAATTGTGAAGCATAAGATAAATGATGGGGTGAAAATCTAATTGAGTTACCGGAAGAAGGTTCACAGAATGAATATTCTTCACAATAGGTCAAATAATACCGTATTCCTAGGACCACTTCCGTGTCATACTTTCCTATTCACTACTCCCTCAAGCTCCTTACAATGACCATAATCATGTTCTGCTACATCTCTGGTCTGCCTTCTTAAATTTTACATCAGTCATTCTTTTTGTGATAACTCAGTTAAGGTTTCTGAATTTTTGGTATCTGATTACTTTCTCGAATAGTTTAACTTTGAGCAGTCTCTGAGAGCAGATAAAATTGTGGAACTTCTGACAATGAATTTGACAACAGATGCACAACAATCCTCAATTCTGTTTTGATCATATAAAATTGATTTTCTGATATTGACTTGATTTCCCTTTATGTGATAGGAGAGGTTATGAGCTAAAGACTTCCTTTGACTTCGCTCACTGATTCAGCCCTCACTTACATTCCTGAGATACAGGTGCTTGAACCTGCCAGTTAGGTTAGATTGTCTTTTCTATTTGCCTTGCATGTGGCCGACCTGGCCGACCCGAGTTCGATTCCTCAGCCCCTCTTGGAGAGCCCAGCAAGCTACCAAGATATCTCGCCCACACGGCAAAGCCTGGCAAGCTACCTGTGACTGACGTATTTGATATGCCAAACACAGTAACAACAAATCTCACAATGGAGAAACAAGTCTCACACTGGAGACATTACTGGGCCCGCTCGAGCAAATCGTTGAACAACTGGAGGATATTGCTAGTGCTAGTGTCTTTTCTATCACTATAGTAAACTATTAAGTACAATAATAACAATAATATTTGCTTCCAAGGTGTAGTCCTTAAAATCTTGACTTTAGCATCGTCATAGGTTGAGTAACTTACTTTGATTGCAGTCAGCCCCAATAAAGCCAGGAGGGCAGTCACAGGTGCCAATTGCAGTATCACAGCTGCCACCATTCAAGCACTTACATATCCTTTGACAATATGGACCATAAGTGCCTTCAGGGCATCCTGTTCCAAAAGAATAAAACATTTGGTTTTGTAATTTGAATTAGTGTTTAAATTTATACCACAGGCATGTGATCATATCAACATTCCAATTAACATGGTTTGATATTTTAAATCACCTTCAAGCTATGGAATTGACTCATGGTCTTGTACAAAAACATAAGATAGTTTATCTGGTTATGTTTAATACAGGTAATAATTTTAAAAAGCACCAAGTGTGTAAGGGAAAGTGTGTTCATTTTTGGTGAGTTTCTCAAATTTCTATTCATTTGTATTTATGGATGTGCAGCCCAGTCTGATGATACCGAGAGATGATTAAATAGCAAGATTTCAAGATAAAGAGATGTTGAATGCATTAAAGAGCAGTGGAAAACGGTGTTATCTGTGCAATTATTGAACTATGGGGGAGTTTAGTCTGAAGAAAAAAGAGCTAAGAAGACGGAAGTGACTTCAAAGCTGAAAAGGCCTTATGAGAAAAGAGAAAAATGTATTTTAATATTAAATTATTTTCTTAAAGAGCTATTAAGTCTTCAATAAGTTCTTTTCAGGAGATAACAAATTACTTATCTCATCTAAATCAAGCAGAAGCTGGGAAGTACAAAGCAGAGAAAATAAAATGTAGCAATTTTCAGCATGCATCAACCCAAGCACAAAAATTGGTAAGTCTACAACTGTACCTCATGGTGTTTCACAAGCAAAATTAAAAAAATAAATAAATAAATAAAATGTAGCAGAAACTGAAACATTGGATAAACTTTCCAGAACTTCAATTGTGACTTCTTGTATGTTTTATAGAATGCCTGATGTTACTGTCTTAAAATCATGGAAGTTTAAGTTTCAAGAAACCTCAGGATGATTTGATTCAATGCCACCTTAAGATTAAAAAATAAAGAGCTAGAAAGAAAAATAACTTGAAATATTTATTGCCTACAACTCCATCAACTGTTAAAGATGACTATTTTCATTGTTGTAATATATTTGCAATAAAAAATTGAATAATTTTGACTATGACTTCAACCCTATTTCTTCCACTATTGCTACTTTAATTACCTTTTTTTCTTTGAGCCTTTGACTCTTCATTTCTAAAGGAATTAACAATAGTGTAGACCTTTTGAGGTATTGCAGTGAACTACTAGGAGTATCTAGCACATTAACAAACTCAGAGAACCCTCACAGCAACAGTAGCCATTGCTATCTTTTGGCACAATCATTGACAGACATCTCCCTGGGTCAAAAGATTTTATGTGGTTTTAGTATCTTTCTTTTGAAAGACATTTTTGTTGAAAGGATAGATAAGTAATTAAATTAGCTTGCCTCCTTTCTTTTATCATGTATTTTAAAGATCACTTAATAAAGAACTGTGTAAACTCACACAAATTGGGGGCGCGCGGCACCCACACGGCGGCGGCTCTATCTCTCCCGCCACCCGCGTTCGGTAGTCTCACCCTTCTACCACCCCGGAGAGGTCGATGGCGATGGTCAGGCGGGGGAAGGAACGAGGGCCAGGCTGGTTGGTATTAGTCGTAGTTTATTCTGATTCTTTCCTCTTCTCCCCTTGTCTCTCTATCTCTCTATCTGCTCCCATCTCTCTCTGTTTCTCCTCGTCTCTCCTGTCTCTGCTCCCATGCTACTTCATTCTCCTTCCCCATCCCCCTTCATCCTCCTCTTCCTTCTGATCCTCTCTGAACTTCTGCTTCTTCCTTCTGCCCCTCTCTGAACTCTCTTCTTCCTTCTCCTGCCCCTGTCTCCCTCCTACAGTACAGTTAAATCCTCTCTCCTGAGGAATTGGGGGAACAATTACACATAGGTGTGGTCACAATCAATAGGGGTGGAGATGAACAGGGGTAGAAATCTTAGCCTCAGGGAAGACCGCTCCTAGGACAGATCCTTCCTTAGCAGGAGGACCCACCCTAGAGCAGAATTCCATGGGCGTGCCTCTCCTCTCCTTGTCCGACAAGCATATAAAATATTATATAAATCATTTTGTATGGATACAGTAAGAAATATCTTAAACTTATAGAATTGCTCTCCTAGGGCCATCTCGATCTCAGACTACGGTGCTCAGGCCAGATAGTCTTTCCCACCCCTAGCAGGATCCTAGTCTTGTCGTTACCTTTGGATCATGACAGCATTTGTCTATGATCAAACTCTTAACTTATAGTTAAGAATCGTGGCACTTTGGCCTGGCCCATTTCGCTGCCAGGGTAGCTCACTGCTTGCCCTGGGTCTATTCAGTCCCTCGTCGGGACCCTGCTTTTGGGGTGTTAGGAACTAAGGGCAACTGAGGCTTAAGTCGAGAAAGCAGATGCCCAGGAGTGAATAATATTCAAGGCCAATCAAATCATAAGTTACAAAGCATAATGTTAACGTTCTTTCTGTATCTATACAAAAAGGATATTACCTTAAGGTAAACTATTCATAAAGCATAAGGAGAGGAAAAGGGCAATATTTCACTCATACATATAATATCATAGATTTCTGGGAAACTGATCTTACAAATTAACAAAGTCTGATTAAGGGGAAAGCTGATTAACTGGGTGGGAGAGCATAGGGAAGACTGTTTACAGATAAACACAATGGAAGTGGAAGTGCTTCAGGAGCACTGAGGTGGGTGTAACCAGATCAAAACCTAAGCTTCTTGAAGGACAAAGCAATGTTACCCAACAAAGAACAATACAAAATGTTCATAGGTAGCAAGATTTAGAGGTGGAAGCCATATATGTTTTTGTTTGCCACACACACACACACACACACACACACACATATACATACACACAACCTAGTTTCAAACTCCTGTGAATCTCAAAGAGTGATTACTCTTTTTCTTCCTTTATTCTGGTTTTTATTTTGGTTTCTTTGTGTCTCTGGTGAAGACACAAAGAGAAACACTATAAAATTATTTATTCCAAGGGATATTTTCTCTGTTAAAATGCATATTCTTAGTCCTATCTATAAAAATAAAAATATTCACATTTTTGACATTCATTCTTTCTTAGAGATGTCAGTTCTTTATAGGTACTTGACCGACAAAATTATATACTTAGTTGTGTTATATTTTTAGTCTTTTAAGCAAGTTATTCTATTTCACTCAGAAAAATTTAACAGATTTGTCTAAAAACACACAAAAAATTATTGCAAGAAAGCATCATGCTCTTCCTCTTCAAATCACTAAGATATGAAAAGCTTCGTGTCTGTCATGTGGTCAGTTTTTTAGAATGTAAACTTTAGTAGTTTTTACTATGTTTGATAATTTGAAAGTTTGGCTACTTGATATTACAGAAAATGCATGCAACACAAGCGGAAAGTATGGATTCTGAAACAGTAAGATATGATATACTGCTGAAAAGTTATTTACATAAAGAAGTTTCTGTTAATAAGAATTGATTGGCATAGAAAATTCTGGAGTCAAGTTACTGTGAAGTGAAAGGGGAAATTAATTCTTCCTTCCAAGTAAGGAAAAGAACAACATCTTAAAAAGTGAAACTTATGTTATTCCTAAAGAGTCAAATCCTAAACTCTGATTATAACTTTGCTAACCAAAAACCAGAACATCTCAATTGAAAAGAAAACTTATGCATAGTTGATTGGTGAATTTAAATAACTAATATGTGTATAGGTGTATATTTTGAAATAACTTTCATGTAAGTTGAAGTTAACAAGAAATATGATTTCCATTTATCATATATCCATTTTACAAATTATTTTAAGAGTGATTTTAAGTTTGGTCAACTTGCTGTTCTTTCCTTGTAAAGAAATCGATTGATTTTTAGCATTCAACTCATTCATACTTTTGAAATGGATACATTAAAAGTTAAAAAATTTAACCTACTGATGTAAGCCATCTGATGAAAGACTTTATACGTTATAACTTCTTAGTTCTGAAAAACGTTCAATTTAGATCAAGAGTTCATCTGTATTTACAGAAATGTCCACTTTTTTACACAGGGATTGTTTGGTGACAATTCTGTTTTCTTAAATCATTGTGTGTGTGTGTGTGTGTGTGTGTGTGTGTGTGTGTGTGTGTGTGTGTAAAAAGTTTGACTTTGGGAGACTATTTGTACATCCCTTAATTTCACGTCACTAAATTTAACAAGGAAACACCTACCTAGAGTGTATTTCCTTTTACATATCCTTTGTTTGGGTGAAATTTGATCTTCCTTCCCTCTTTTCCTTTAGTTCAATTTTGATCACTACTAGACTTTTGTTGAAAATTTTATGATTATTTTTGCTGTAAAATGTAGCCTATATGGCAAGAGATGATTAGTGAGCTTTCATTGAAAAGTGAGAATCCCACCCCACGCCCCCCAGCCCCTCCTTAAAATAGGCCAATTCCTTCTAGGAGACTGACTCAGATATGAGGAGAAACCTGATTTATGTAAATATTAAAAGAAAATGATAATATGAATGCTAATAATATAATTTGTTACTTTGATAATGCAAATGACATTTAATATTTTATTGAAAAAAGAAAAAACAAAAGTTGTGGACTGAATCCTATGACACTTGGGTCCAGTACAAATGGAAATCATGAGTTTGTGTTTCATGCAATGTTTTCTATTAACTTGCCATATACTAACAATTGTTGCACAGTTTTGTCTTTTAATTTTTAATGTTTTTGCTTTTTGGGACACACCTGGTGATTCTCAGGGATTTCTCCTGGCTTTGCACATGTAATTACTCCTGGTGGTACTCAGTGGACCATATGGGATACAGAGAATCAAACCTGGTTGGCCATATGCAAGGCAACTCCATTACCGCTGCATAATCGCTCCCCGATTTTATTTTTTAAAATAGATGCAAAATTTTTCTGTGTAAAATTTTAGAGTTATGAGCAAAGATATTAAACTAAATTTCTATTAGTGTCTTGATGTCATTTCTCCCCCAGTACTGTTTCACTAGTTAGCAACCCAACGTTTCTCAAAACATTCTGATTGAACCATGGGCTGCTCTTAGGAATACTTTCATAGAACTAGCTTACTAGGGTTTTAAATTTTTAGTGCTTG